AAAAATTATTATTTTTTAACCATACATTCTCCATCAATTTATTATTTCAAAATTCATTCTAAAGAAAAAATGGGCTCAAACGGGCTTTAAATTTCGATAAAAATTGATAAAATACGTGATTGAAAAATTGTCAGTCTCATAAAATATATGATTAAAATTATTCGTGGACTTTGATTTAGATCAAAATCTGAATTTTAATTCATACCAAACATGATGTAAGAAAGAAAAGATGTTAACATTTAGTCATTATACTATTCATTTAATATCATGAAGAATGTTGTTACAAAATAAGGAAAAATCACGTGTTCGTGCAAAAAAAATTATTTTATTGAAAGAATGTGTTGTGAGTCCCATAAAGTGTTTGGATGAAAATAAGTTTTGAGTATTCATGGTCTCCGGTTTTGGTTATACACCAAATTAAAGGCACAATTAGGAGAAAAGAAGTGTTGACAGGAGCTACGAATCACATGCTTTTCTAAGGGAAAAGAAGATTCAAATAATGGATGGTTCTAAGGAATTTCCCTTCACTTATTTTACTCAAACACGTGAAGCCTAAGGGCCTCTGGGACATGGCTCGATTATTCCAATGATAATTTGATTGACCCATAAAAATATTCTGATTCTAAGTCATATTCAAAAACGTACATGGAATGGGATTTTTTCTACAAGAAAAGGTTCTCGAATTTTCTCCTAACATGGTTCTGTTCAGTGCATCCACCCCTTAATAATATAGGCTGAAAAATAAAATCCTTGGCAACCAATTTTTAAAGGTATATGGGGTTCAAGTCTATTGCCATATTTTTTACATTTTTTTATTTATTGGCTTACTTAACCCCTATTTGGTGAAAATTAAAACTCAGATTCTAATATAAATCAAAGTCAACATTTAATTCGAAACAACTTTTCAATATGCTGGTTGATTTTAATTGTCAAACTTTGGGAAATTAATCGTCAAATTGTGAGAAAAAAGTGTACACGTTTTGCCAGTGGTCACTATTGATTTGACAGATGGTAAGTGGTTCGATCAAAATCTTTTAAGCTACGTTTTTTATTGTTTTCTTTATATAACATGATACGTTTTCTTGTTAGACAATTACAACTCCTATGGAATAAATTCTATATCATCCTAAATATTTTTAGATTTATCTAATGGGATAATATATGATAAGTTAAATTTAAAAAAAAAAAAATTTCCTTATTTTAGACAAATCTAGAAAATCTTTTGTTATATATATTTTTATAATAATTCTCTTACCCTTTTTATGGATGATTATTAGGTAAGAATTAATTCCCATTTTGACAATCACTTTAATTATACGTAAGGGAATAATACATCAAGAAAGAAATTAAATTTTGGAAAATAATTTTCGTCCATGACCTAGTGTAAAACGGTGTAACCGTCATAGGCAAGTGTACACGACGTGATGCTTTATTGAATATTTCAAAACCAATGTTTTCTTCAAGCTTTTTGAAAATATAAAAATAAATCGGTGCTCAATGTACAATCCCATCTTTTGATCAAGCTATTTGGCGTGAAGTTAAGAATGTGGATTCTTAATCTAAATGGTGGTTTCAATCAGGTACAATAGGAAATTTGTGATAAAGTCAAGATCGAAATGTTTGATTTCACTTCATCAACAAGTCAAAAGTAGAGAAGCAAATTATTATTATTATTATTATTATTATTATTTTGTTAATTTTGCGAACTTATAAAATCGGATACTATTGTATTCTTGATCAATTTATTAGTGAATTATTTGACCCGTGTAATGCGAGCCAGCGAATATTTACTTTCGGAGTTTACTATGTTATATTTGGTGTTTGTGTTTTAAGTTGCTAATTAAATTTCGCAGTCACTGAAACCACATCACAAACACAACAACAACCTGCACATATCGGTCAAATTGGTTAGAAACTGATTATAGGAAGTTCTAACCGTTGTCTGTCCAAAATTATAATAGTTAATTAAATTAATTTTAATTTATCTAGGTTTTATAATTTACAAAGTCCGAGGAAATGTATTTTTTTGGGTCTATTGTTGGCTTTGGTTGATTGTGGACTTTGG